GACACCACCAAGCCGCCGTCGTAACGGCCCAGCCGCACGACTCCCTCCCATCCTGACACCGCGTGACGAACTCAGCGATGTGCGGGCGAGCCCCGGGGACCTTCTCGCCCAGCACAAGGAAAGAGGGAATGTTGTTGTGTGCGCATATTTACTTCTGTTTAAAAAAAAAAATAAGAAAAGCTCAAAGAAGGGGAAACAAATCCAAAGATTTATTGAAAGCAATTCAAGTGGGGACAATGGGTTACGAGAAAAGCTGGCTATGCTCCCCCCTTCCTGCTTGCCCAAGCCAGAGGGACAGCAGTGGACAGAGATGGGAATGCACATCCGTTTGCCTTCGGGGGAATGTGGCTTTGGAGAACTGCTGGGGGGGGAAGGACCCTGCCCGCCAAGGCAGAGAGCCCCGAACTGAGCAAACCAGCCCCTCCCAGAAACTGTACTCAGCGCCTTGTTCAGGTGTCTATGCAGCTCTAGCAGCTCTTAAAACAATACCAAAGACAGACAAAAGGCACGTTCCGGTCCATGTTTACTTTGGTGCGGATGGTACGGCAGAGGCAGCTTGGGCGGTTCTCCCATGGGCAGGAGGTGCCGCGGTGCTTTCACTGCACACGCAGACGACAGACTCTGGTGGCATCGCCTTGGCCCCAGCCTCTCCCAGGACTTTATTTTTGGTAACTTTCTTTTGAAATAAAAAATGTAAAACAATAGTGGAGGGGGAAGGGCCCCCCAGGTTCCTCCTAGCAGCCTCCCCCTCCCCCACCTGTGTACAGCAAACTTATTGATATTGTTTTTTGGTTGTGGAGGGGTTATTTTTTTAAGCCTTGTTACAGAGGTGGATGTAGTTGCACATTGTGGCCGGCTAAGGCCCATGAGGCAGGTACCTGTGCGTGCCCGTAGGAGGTAGGGAGGTCAGGCAAACCAGGAGGTAAAGTTTTTACTACTGTGAAGAAGATGGTAACTCCTGGGGCTGACCTCTTGTGACTCGTACAGTTGTGAACAACAATCACACACGGTACTTCTCTCTCTTTTTGTTTAAATGTTGCACGTGCTACCGTTTTTCTTATAAAAATAGCTTGGTGGTACCTTAGCTTCTTTATCTTGTAAAAAAAAAGGATCCATCCCATCACAATAAATGCTTTCCAGCAATCAATTTAAATAAAAAAAATCAGTTAATTTACTAAGGGTCTTTGCTTCCCCCCCTTAGCATGCCTGCTCAGTGCCACGCTGGTCCTCTTGCATCTGTTCACTGTACGTCTAAGCTCCGGGGGGGCACGCTCAGTTCTTGTGCATTAAGCCCACTGCCCCTCGAGCTGTGTCAGGTTTTGCTTCACCTGCTACAACTGCTGCAAGAAACCTCCTGGCACAGCTGAGCGATGGAAGGGAGCACGCCCAAGGTTGTGAACAGCGAGGTCACATGCACTTGGGCAGCCGGGCCGGAACCACAACCAAGGGACAGAGCCTATGGCTAGCTGCCAGCGGAGAAGGTGAATGGGAAGTGACTGCAGAGCGTGTCAAGAATCTGTTATTGCAAAAGTTTCTTGCCAAAAATAAGGTTTATTTTAAAAAAAAAAAAAAAAAAAAGGGCCGGGGGATTTTGGACATTTCTCATCCCAAACTCAAGCAACGTCAGACTGACAAAACGGCAGGCTCAGGCTCGGTTTTTATCCTCTCAGCACACTTGCAGGGCAGCAGCGGACTGGCCCCACTTCCCCCCAAAGCTTTTCATGTGATTGTCCACCTGCATAGAAGTTAAAAGGGGGGAAAAACAAACGTGAAAAGCCCCACCCCAGGGGTCTTTACTCAGTGGCTTGCCTGGAGGAGGGGGGAGGGGAAAATGCCTCAACATTTCTCCTGGAAATTTTTCACCAACATTCACTCAATCCCATCAGCAGCGGACTGGCCCCACTTCCCCCCAAAGCTTTTCATGTGATTGTCCACCTGCATAGAAGTTAAAAGGGGGGAAAAACAAACGTGAAAAGCCCCACCCCAGGGGTCTTTACTCAGTGGCTTGCCTGGAGGAGGGGGGAGGGGAAAATGCCTCAACATTTCTCCTGGAAATTTTTCACCAACATTCACTCAATCCCATCATCAACTGTTCCCATTCTACCTCCACTGGGCCCCTTGCTCCAGGCGGCTGCTGCGTGACAAGTCCTGCTGGAGCAGCATGGGCCTCCTTTTCAGCCGCTCTGGGGCAGCCCCTCCGCATCTCTCCGCCCCCAAAGCCCCTGTTTCCGTGTAGTCCTGGCCTGCTAAGGCAGCACGGGAAAGGTCATTGGCTTAGGTTCGGGAATTGCAGCCCCTTCCCCCCAAGGAATGCACCGAGGTAATTAACCGTGAGGCTGAGCAGAGGGAGACCCTGCGGCAGGAATTCCCAGTAAGGGGGGCTCAGGGCCAAGCCAGTCCCCTTTGCTTGCTGGGCCCTCATGCTGGAGGGACAACCTGAAAACCCCTCTCGTAAGCAGCACCCCAGCCGCGCTGCACGTCAGGATGAAGACAAGGGGGCTCAGGGAGTAGCCTCCCCTTCGTGGGTGCTCTGCACAATAGAAAAAACTGACCGGCTGGCCCTTCCCTTTGGCCTGTC